ATGAGAAGTGCCTTTGGCTCCCTTGAAGGCCCATCGAAGGAATGCGGTCGAATGGACATCCGCTTGCACTTCAAGAGTATGAGTTGAGCTCGCAGGAAGGGCAAGTGTGTGATTCTTTGCAAAGAAGGCCGTCCAATTACTGGCATCGATCGCACTATCGCATGCTCTGATGGTATCTACAACGGCTGGCATTGACTCGGGCATAGGGATGGAGCGTGGGCGCAAATTCCAGGGCGGAATATCGCCATTGAGTGTCCTCATCTTGTAGGCAAACGGTGCCACAGCAGGACCGGGGGTGGTAGGAGTAATGCGCTCGCTAATCTATGAAAGAATGTCAGTGCAATCCACGAGGGGCTTGATCCTAAACGAGTCTTACATGAAGGAACACATCATCCGCCAATCCCATCGGAAACTGAATGCTTTCATCCACACAAGCTATCCAATTCTTGGAAGAAGCAAGATCGACGACCGCCTCGCCTGTCTCAATTTTTCCAATAACCGTCAAGCCTGGAAGAGCGGTCCTGACAAAGGGCATTGCGCTCTTCGAAGCCGCGAAGTACCGGACAACAACAAATCGAATCTCATTCTGTCCATCTTTCAGGTAGGGCGCAATGTCCAGCGTATCATAGTACCAGATCAGAGGACTGCTTCGAGTCGGTCCGACGGCAATATGCTTCCCATTCACATAGAGCTTGTAACGTGTATCGGCTGAGAAATGCAGTACTGATTTAGTCGGTCGCGACGACAAATTAACAATCGTCGTGAAGTGAATTATCTTGCCAGCTGTGTTCGCGTCTGAAGAGTCAGTCCAGTTTGGAACCCAGATCCAGTTAGCCTGGAGCTCGTTGATTGTCTTTTCGGCCACAATATGTTAGTTATTCAAGTCCATACAGGAGATACACGTGAAATACCTTTTGCTCTTCTGCTGAGACCATCTTCGCCAATTGAAGTGTTGGTTCCGCTCATGGATGTTCCGAGCTTGTATAATTTCCGGTGGGGGAAGGGGCCGGGGGTACGGGGGATCTCATGCCGAGAACCTTGGAAGGGACCTTCCAACAGCTGTCGGCGATTGAATTAAAGTTTTCGATGTTGTGTTGAAATAAGCGTGTTTGCGGGGAAGAGTGGAGTGGTCTCAACCATGGAAACGAACAAGGTTCCACGGTTCCAACCGTGGAACGTTTCGGCTGTTTAGTTCATTGACGCCCAAATGATTCCGACCTGCTATCCTTATGTCCTGCCCAACTACATTAACGAGTCACATTACATATAGGATCGAGACCAAAATAAACAGGAATAAGAAGACAGGAGGGAACAACCTGCTTCTCGGTTTACAGTGATCAGATGATGGTATTTACTTTTTTTTAATACACAAAATGCTCTACGCAGAATTTTAAACTACACTTTGTCACGTCAGACCGGTGGAATAAGAACTAAAGCAATTGCGCTTAGAAATTAATTGACCAGATTCTCAGTGTTCAGCCACTCGCAGTGCGGAGACTTCCTGTGGTAGCCCAGTATACGTTATAATTGTATCCCTGAGCGTCATAGAAAGCACTCAGTGTAACACTTTTGCCGTTGGCGATGGAGGTGAAGTCAAGGCTGAAATCTCCGGACCGTTTGATAGAGTCAAGGGCGAGAGTAGGAGTACTACTCAGTCTCTGGTTGCCGTAATTGCCGCACAAGACAGTTGGTCCATACGCAATTGCAACCATACTTGAATTATCGTTTGCAGCCACCGTACGCAGACTCATGGGAAAGCGGACCTCAACGACATCTCCATCGGTCCATTTACGTGAGATTTGAGCGTACGTCCCGGGAGTAGCTTTGACATTAGGTAGAGCTTCTCCGTTCAGTGTCAGCTCTGCGCTGGATGCCCATGCAGGAATGCGGATATTCATCATCCAGTCACCACCACCGAACACTTCCAGTTTTGATGTATCGCCGATTGGGTAAGTCGTAGACTGTTTCAGGGTAATACCCATCTCTCGCCATTTCAGGACGGAAGACATGAATAAGTTGATAAACAAAGTCGACTCATTGTAAAAGTAGATTGAATCCATCAACTTGGTGTTTGTTTCGAGTGCCGTTCCTTGACAGCACCAGAATGAGTCGTAGTCGGTACTCCAAGTACCACCACCCCAGGCGGGACCAACACCGCGGCGACCTCCAGCGTTGAGAGGGGTGAAGTACGTGATATGCCCATTGTGATCATCAGGGTTCTGTTGGCCCAGCAGGTGATTGAGTAAGGAGTTTTCGTAGAAATCAAAGTATTTTGAGGTTTCGGGATCAAGAAGCCACAGCTCGCGCGTCAGCTTGAGCATGTTGTATGAATTACATGCTTCGCATGTGTCATTGTCAAGATACGCGGCGATGGCGTTTGGAGTATGGAAGTGCTCGGCTTGACTGTTACCGCCGATAGCGTACGTGTGCGATTTGACATTGATATCCCAGGCGTTGCGGGCAATATCCAGGTAGCGAGAGTTTCCGGTAGCTTTGTATTGGCGAGCGGCGCCGATCCACTTTGGCACTTGAGTGTTGGCGTGTAGACCGTCGAACTCATCTTTGTTGGCGGCAAGAGGGTCGAATATAACGGCATGATCAAAGCGTTGGGCAACGGTAAGCCACCTCTTGTTACCAGTTTGGTGGTAGAGGTCAGCCATTACGTCGTTCATACCGCCGAACTCCGTTTGTAACAACTTCTGCATTGCATCGTAACTGAATGATTCGGTGCGTTTGTCGACCCACCCGGCTAAGGACAGTAAAACGTCTCGAGCGGTGGTGTCCTTTGTCAAGCGCCAGATATCGAGAAGTCCTGCAAGAGTCTTGTGCACAGCATAATACGGGACATTGCCGTTTGCTAGGGTGCCGTTCTCGAGTTTTGCGAAGTCTGATTCTGGAAAGCCAGATACATATCCGTCCGTGAAGCCAGCAGCTTTGTTATTGGCCTGACATTTTGCCAGCTCAGCAGCAAAGTAGACTGCTCGATCATAACATGTTTGGTCTCGGAGTACAGCATAGCATTGAGCCCAGGCACTGAGAAAATGACCCTGAACATGCGAACGGAATGGGAAATCCGGAGCATCCCAACCACCGTTTGGCGTTGCCTGCTGTGTAGATAGTCCGTGGGTCATTCGGAAGACATAAAGTAGTCTGTCGACATCTATCTCTTTCAAATATCTAAGGGTACGGCCCTGGTTTTCCAGGAAGCGGTCCTGGGCCAATTCGACCCCGCCAAGCTCGAATGCAAATGCCTGGGCTCCGACATATTTGACATTCAAGTCGGACTTTCCATTGGCGAAAGAGGGAAGAGAAAGGAAAAAATAAACTAATATCGCGAGCGGTTTCTGCCAGTCCTTGGGATGTATCATTTTGGATTGCTCCGACGCGCGGATGGAAAGTCTCGTGGAAAGGCTAGTTGAAATAACGATATAGAGATGTGCCTAGCTATTCTGCGTTGTCTGAGACATGAGTGCAGTGGTCTGACAATGAGTCTCTTTTAAGATTACATTTTTCCGGTGGGATAAGGCGTACATTGTGTTCCGTGTACATATGTATAGAATGCCAAGGCCATCCACACGAGTACTCCGTATACTCTATTTCTTGTAGAAGGGCTTGTTAAAACTCCGGAGGATTTCATTGGGTGGGAATAGTTCTTGCGGAGAAATTCCGCCCGTCTTCTAAGATGGGAAACATGCCGGAGGAATTGTAGATCACTCCATAGTCCATATTGCTCGAGCCCTGTTCGCGTCATTCACTTATACTTTCGATCGCCATGGATTGAGTTCTTAAATTTGTCATTAATAAACAGGTAAATTGCGCACCTGGGCATTCTCTCAAGGGTTCCTTAATATACCATAATCAATATCAAGATTTCGCGTTATATAGTACACCTGGATATTGTCCTAGGTGACCCAACTTAACCGAAATGCGTAAACAATTGCCACGGTTTGTTCTTCGGTATTTTTCACTCTCTAGTTTCATGCAATACTCTATAAATACTATGCGCAACGTACAACATGCATATCGGGCTAAGCGACCGATGTGTCCACCCCGGGGCCTCTCTCATGAATTACGTTATACGCCTCGGGGAATAAAATAGTTACGGAGCACTCCCTTTCTAGACTAGTTATACAAGATCTAGTGCATGATACAGATACGGTATTACATGGTAACCTTGCCAAGCGCACGTACGCTACCACACTTGGCATTACACGGCGCGGGTAGATCTGTCCTCCCGAGCCGAAGTCCGAGGTCCGTCCAGCATCTCGTAATAAAGTCTGCCGCTTCTGAATTCTACCTTTCGAGTAGCTGGCTGAAATTTCGATATATAGGCATATTATATATGTATATATCAGAACTCTGTAAGCTTGAGGACGAGTCCATAGGAACATGATATAAACCAGGTTGCAAGAAATCGGATGGAACCTCGGCTGGTCCACTTCTTTGAAGAACTTCAGCCAGTTAGGACGCCCCATTTTATAGAACGTGGTTCTGGACCCCATCGCTAACAATCTGTTTCAAGGATATACTGAGTAAATGTTTTAGGACAAGCTTAGTGGATCGCTCCTGGGGGCTGAGACAAACGTCCTGGGAGGCACATCATCCGAAAAATTTAGCTTGGCCTGGTATGGTCATTGAATTTTACAAAAATAAAGTACCTATAAGGCCGAGGCGTTTTTCCTCTTCCTCTTTTCCTCTAAAATGGAAATTCTCTATATGTAGCAGCATCTAAGGATTCGGAATCCGTTTACCCTAATAGCACTCATGAATTGATTGGCCACTCGGCGGCTAACTAATTTAGCCCGGTTTCGTCGAGACAGGGCATCCACGTGCCAAATTGATAGTATATTTCGAAATAACTAGGTGGCTTGATATATCGTACGTTACTTCATGTGGAGAACAAATAATTGATGCAGAAAAATATCAGTGACAAAAGGGAGGGTATCGCGAATATGTCATTCCGTTGAGCGCTGTCAACTCTACTTCGTAGTATAAACAAATTAAAATCCACCACGGCGCCCCTCGGCACTTTCACGATCTGGTAACTCGATATTCTCATCCCTAACACTGAATTGTACTGATGTATAAATCTTCAGGCCACTCTTCGGATCAGTGGGGCCAATAATGGGATCCTCCTCGCGTTCCCAGCCGCGTAGAACACCCGAAACATCATTGTTGTCCTTGTGCGTAAAGGTATTCCTCGAGTCCATCCTCCTCGATTTTGATTGCGATCCAGAAGTTCCGTTTGTGTACGAGATTCCGTTGCTGTCTTCGTAGGCTGCGATGAAAGATTTGAAGAATGCGCTCACGACACATAATACGCTTATCGCAAGGTAGATCTCCGTTATGACCGTTGCGAAGGCGCCGAAGAGTATTGGATCATCCGAGGTGATTTGCAATTTCGTATAGTATAGGCGGAGCCCAGCGAGGGGCATGAGACTAGGTTGAAGTCAGATGTTAGTTTATTGTGAGAATCGAGTTATATTCTGGGTAGGCAAATCGACTCACAGTACTCGGGCCTGGAGCGCTATAAATACCACCAGCTTTTTCATTGTTGATATCTGGATTTTTTGTACTGCTATTGCAGTATACACGAATAGAGAGGCCTCAGTGGCGATGTCGATCGCTGTAATCGCTTGCCATCGGGGTATCTATAGCATGTTCATGTTCAGTCAGTCACACATGTCCCCATATGTAGAACTCTTCTTATCTTACCAAACTGCTACACTGAGTGTCGCTAATATCAACCCAAGGGTTATGGCTACAGCGGACTGCTAGTAGTATCACGGAAAGAATTGTCCAAACAACCATTCCAAACAAGTTGATGCGGATAAACATTCTTTGTATCTGTGAAAAGAGCGTACTGTAGAATAGGCAAGTCGATATCTTGGAGCAGCCCAAGACAATTATCGATAGGATATCAGCGGCATATCCGGTCTTGAGCATTCGATCGCTTGTAGTTTGGCCAGGTTTTGTCCGGATACCCCAGCCATCGTGAACCTGAGCGAGCACTACCGCTGCTTGAGTAGTTGCCACGACCTATTCTACTGTTAGTGGGAGTAGCGGAATTAGGTGCAAATCGCTCTGCGAATGCATGAACCTACTATGAGCACACCGAACGAAAGGTTATTATGTTGCATAATACGCCTAGTGAACGAAACGGAGATCCGCGTAGCGAGCGCCACAATAATCAGAACGATATAGAGCGAGGTGATCACTACGATCAATCCGCTATGGTTATTGGGGTTATCTGTTGAGAGAGGCGGGCTTATGCCTGGAGGCAAAGGCGAGGTGACCGACATGATTGTCTAAGGCAGATTGAACATTGAAAGTCGACACAGGATAGATATATTTGAAGGCATGTGGAAACAAGGGGGCCATCTATGCGACCAATTTGGGGGCGAAAATTGTTAATTATTCTTCAAGGCGGTAGGCAAATTATCAAGATTTTCGGCAGCAAGGGTTATAAATTGAATGGGCAAGGATTTTAAAGATGAACAGGCCATAAAAGATCCATAGGTGCTCCGTAGAAAGTATATAAAGTACTTAATCAAATATTAGAACCAATGGCATCCTTCGTTCCAATATCACTATGCATCGGGTGTAAATGTGGAGATCTTCATATATGGGTTAGACATTCCGAAAAAAATAAATTAGAAACTTGCCTCAGAATAACGAAATTTTCACTTAGCGTGCATCGCATCATTTCGCTTGAAATAGTACTTGTGTTTCCCGAATCGCGCGAAGGAACTAGGCTCATGCGCCTCAGCTCTTGGCCTGATACTACCTACCCTCGTGTCATTCCGCATGCGCACCAACATGGCGTTTAATCCCTGCATGCAATATGCGATCTTCCATTGTTCTTTTCCTCTCCTTTGTTCATGATAAAAATAAAGTTATTAGTCCAACAAAAGTACATTACATTGTATTCTAGCTATGAAGTTCACCAGAACAGGGCTAGTCCAAGCCAAGGCAAAAGAGTATTGGCATACCCCACTTATACAGTGGCATTGAGATCAAGACTTGTGGATCAATGTCGCTGGATCCCGCCAATCTGCGTTGTTATACAAAGAATCTTTAATATGATTCACTAATGGCCCCTTGATCTCTTCCCCCCTTACATTTTTCCATTTATTCTCGATCTCCCCATCTCTCTCTCTCTCTGTGACATTCCATCTCTCTACCCCTCCCAGCAGCTCAGTCGCTGCTAGATTACCGCCATGGATTCTTTTAAACAATCCGGTTCCGCGGTGCGGGATACAGAGCTGCAATCTTTAGACCGAGATGGTTCTTCAGACCATGATCCAAAGGCAGCAGTTGCAGACGACACTGACATGCAACGAATGGGAAAGGCCCAGGAATTTAAGGTATGTTTTCTCTGTCTGCGCCGCATTGATATCCATCTGACATGGTCATACAGAGAAACCTAAGGCCGTTGGCTGCTTTAAGTTTTGCATCGGTTTTGCAGGCAACCTGGGAGTTCATTCTTATGTTAGTATATCACTCTGCCTACTTCCATTGAATATTTCTAATTCGTGAACGTTATCTCAGCTCCAACTACGAAGGTTTATACAACGGAGGCCTACCGGGTCTGTTTTACTCTTATCTATGGACCTTCATTGGGTTCGGTTTCATTATTGCCTCGATCTCCGAAATGGCATCAATGGCACCAACTTCTGGCGGACAATATCACTGGGTTTCTGAGTGGTCCTCGCCTCGATACCAAAAGTTCCTCAGTTATATTACAGGTAGGCTTGTCCTATGACCCTTGAACCTTCTGAAAAGGATTCCTTGTGGTTAATCAATTCCTTATATATAGGCTGGATGTCAGTGCTAGCATGGCAAGCTGGAGCAGCCTCTGGCTCATTCCTCACTGGAACCATTATACAGGGATTAATCAGTGTCCGAAACCCTGATTATGACCCGCAGAGCTGGCAGGGTACCCTTCTTGTCTTTGCGATGGTCCTGGTGATCTTCATTGTCAACGTCTTCGCATCCGATCTGATGCCAATCCTAAACAATCTCTTGATGATTCTCCACGTTCTCTCCTGGGCAATTATTGTCATTGTTCTGTGGGCTATGGCACCTCACCAATCCGCCGAAGCTGTCTTCGTCACGGAGTGGAAGAATTACGGAGGTTGGTCTACAATGGGACTCAGCGTGATGGTTGGACAACTCTCGGCTATCTACGGCTCTCTAAGTACGTATCAAGCAAGCTTTAACATGTATAGAGGATACTAACAATTTATATAGGCTCTGACGCAACTGCACACATGTCCGAAGAGGTGAAAGATGCAGGTCGTAACGTACCTGTCGCTATTGCCTGGGGCTACTTTAGCAACGGTCTTATGGCTATCGTCCTAATTATCACTTTACTTTTCGCTATGCCATCAGTGGAAGCCGCCCTAGACGATCCTACTGGCTTCCCGTTCCTCTATGTCTTCCAACAGGCGACCTCAACGGCAGGAGTGAACGGACTGACGGCTATCATCCTTCTACCCGTTATTTTCAGCAACATCCTCTTTAATGCCTCCACCTCCCGGCAAACCTTCGCCTTCGCCCGTGACAATGGCCTTCCATTTTCCAAGTGGATCGGCAAAGTCGACCAAAAGCGCAAGATCCCAACGAATGCTATTATTCTGTCCTGCATTATTAGCTGCGCGCTATCCCTTATCAATATAGGATCCGAGACTGCGTTCAACGCCATTATCTCTCTGAACGTGGCGGCCCTGATGTACACGTACATTATCTCAATTAGCTGCGTCATCTACCGTAAGATCTGGCATCCTGAGACCCTCCCAAGGCGTCGGTGGGACCTGGGACGTTGGGGACTGGGCATCAATATTGTTGCGCTGCTATATTGCTGTTTCGCGCTCTTCTGGGCGTTGTGGCCAGGTGATGTGGTGGTCACCGCGGAAAGCTTCAACTGGAGTGTGGTTCTCTTTGTGGGAGTCTTCATCATCAGTCTCGTGATGTATGTTGCTAAGGGCCGGAAGGATTACGCTGGACCATCGGTTATTGTCCAGAAGACCCTGGATTGATAGTATATATCAACCCTATATGTTGATCCCACAAGGCGAAAAGGTACAGATGGAGGGAAATAGACCTGTATTATCAAAAGAAGACGAGCTCTCAAAACTATGTACATTTTTTTCTTCAAAAAGACCTATTGGGTATTTCTTTTCCTTTAATCCCAACTCGTTTGCTCCTAGTTAGTTAGTTAATTACCGTTTTAGGCTGATTTGTGCCTGGATTCTCAGGCATTCAAATTCATGCAAACACGGCAAATCTCTTGGGATCCGCAGCCAGGGAAGATGACAATACAAGTATCACTACTCAACATATGAGCTCAAAATGGCTTTCAATAAATTCAGGTTAGAGGCTGCTAAAAAGAGCCCTGCCCCAATCGCAATAGCCGCTGCTGTTCCCCGACTGCCGGCAAGGGGGCAAGACACCAATGTGCAGTATCATTCACCCAATGGAATTCCCTCCCAAGAATTATCCGAAAACAAGACTACGGCGAGTCAAAGGGACAAATTTCAACCAGCCAGTTACCCTGAGCTGTTTGCTCCTACAAATGACCCGAGGGTTCGTTGCAAAAAAGGTTGGGAACCCGTCAGCCTGGTGAGGTCATGGGCTATAATCTCAGGCGTGACTGACACGAAGATCAGAGATATCCACAATTTGCGGAATACTGCCTGTATTGAATGCAGAAATTCCAAGACTCGCTGCCAAAATAACACTGCTGGAGTCGGAGGATGCCTCCGATGCTTGCAGAAGAACAAGCAGTGTACGATGTATCTGCCATCGCGAACAGCTTCCGTCGAAAGCTCTACGACCGAGGCAGCTTCTCGTTCATTTAGTCCGCACCTGCGTGTGCAACAATATCAAAGCAAGCCACTTTTGGTTGACCATCACTGCACAGAAGGCAGACTTGAAATTGATTCCAACTTGGACATGAACACACCTTCGACTTTTCAACAGGGTGTCACCCAGGCCACATCTTGTGAGTTTTCAGGAATTGCCCTCGCTTGTTTCTCAATTATATAATATTCTAGAACTGCTAATGAGTTTCAATAGCGTCTTCCCCATCATCTTGCAGTTGGACCGATCAAATTGGACACATGGTTGAATCCATCTTCAGTTCAAAGACAGCTGAACAAATCTTTCAACGATACTTGGACAATTTTGCTCCAAAATGTCCCATTGTTGTGTTTCCAACTGGCACAACAACTGCGCTTGTGCGAGAGACCAAGCCATTGCTATTTTTATCCATAATCAGTATCGCTTCTGCTGGGTACTGTACCATCTCCCAGCAGAGAGACTTAGCAGTTAATGTCAGGCTTTATCTGGCAGACCGGGCGGTTGTTCGGGGCGAAAAGTCTATCGAGATCGTTCAAGCTCTTCAGGTCGTGTCTTTTTGGTACAGAGCACCAGACGATTATAAACAGATGAACCTGAACCAACTAGCTTCTATTGCCACAACCATGGCTATAGATCTTGGATTGGATAGGATTGAGGTAACAAAGCCAGCTGGCAAAGTCGAGGAAATGTGGGATCGGGCGGAAGCACAGCGTGCCTGGCTCGGTTGTCTTCTCTTATCTGCAAGGTGAATTTATCCTTGTCATTTGTTTTTTTGAGCTGCCGTGAAAACTAAACGTGACTTAGTCTCTCCCTGATATTGAGACGCCCCAATTCGCTCGCCTGGAGCTCGCAGTATGATGACTATGTCGCCGATTTGCGCAGGACCAAAACATCTCCTACTGACGAGTTCCTTTGCATAACTGTAACAGCAGAGGGTATTTGCCACGCTGTAAACCAGGAGCTATCTCTGACTGACTCGGCCACGTCGGCATCATTGTCTGACCCCACAAAGTTGACAAGAATCCAACAATACAAGTCTCAAATCGAATGCCTGCCTCTCGAGCGAATACCCTCTATGAACAAATGTGAGTTCTGTTTTTGGAATTTCGTTTATGTTGGCCTGAAATGACAAAATTGACGATTGTAAATCAACCAGCTCTGGTTGAATTTGGCAGATATGCTAGCTTACTGTATCTACATGAGTTGGTATTACATGTCAACCACAACATCGATGAGTTCAAGGCACCTTTTAGTGTGAAGTCCTTGGAGACGTGTAATTTCATCGACATGCACGATCTCGACCCATCTCGCATTTCAATGCTTCGCGCTATCATACGAGCGGCACAAGGTCTGCTTGATACTTTCCTCGGGCTATCCACGTCCGACATGATTGCTTTACCACCCCATATGTATGGCGGTCGTGTAATATATGCAGTGGTGCTTTTGTTGAAACTATATAAGGCAATTACGTTATCAGGGCCGGCAATAAACGATTATGTCACTGCTGACGAATTACGACTGGAAGTGTATATCGAACACCTCGTCCTCGTTTCGAGGAGTCTCATTGCGCAGGATGATCGCAGTGCTTTGAGCAGGTCATTCTTGGTCATGCCTCAGCTGAAGCAGTGGTTACATAGTCACCAACCCAAGATCTCGCCCGGGTCAGACGAAACTGAAACGGCGGAAGTCCTCCCATTCCAGACCGGTGCTGGGTCGTTGAGCACTACAATACAAACGCTGACGGCTACTCTTGGTGTTCCCTCAACCCAGACGCAGACGCCCGAGATGACCCATCTTGAGCGATTGGATGGACTTAGGCAGTCCGACGGGCCTATCCAGTCTTCCAAATCATCTGACTACCCTATTGTACATAATGGGGGTACAGAATTTGAACCAAATCGGCATGAACCAGCATCTGACTCTTGGTTTTGGGAATTTTTCAATGTCGACATGCTCCATCAGAATGCCCATTCATCATGAGATGAGTGTTTCTAAATTTCCGCAATATCTTCTCATGAATTTCTGCGAGAAGACTGTCTCTAATTAATGTATACACAAATTTGCATTCTTTCGATGCTACTAATTTCATCAAGCGTGTCTTTACTGCCTCCAACAGACTTGCTTCAACCCACTTCCACAATAACATGTCAAAAATTATTTACGCGTGTCCCTGAACTTCCTCCGACTTTGGCCTTTTGTGAGTGCTTTTCACGGATCGCCATTCGACCCCCACGGCGCCAACAATGGATACACATGCTAAGGCCAACGCGACTGCAAAGGTCTGGATGATCGCGTTATTGTAAATCTCCATAACCTGAGTAGCAACCTCCACGGCCTGGCCCGAAGCAGCTTGCATCAATGTGCGACGAAGATCCGTCGCTCCAGACTGAAGGACAACAGATGGATCTAGCTCAGGGACCTGGGCGCGCATTCCGGCGACTACGTGGTTGCTAAAAACATTCTGGCCCACGGAGACGAATATGGCGCCCCCAAGAGAGCGAGCAAAGACCACCAAAGATGTCCCGATGGAGACATCCTTCTCGGAAAGAACTGTCTGAACAGCAATGTTCGCAAGCTCGATTCCAATACCACCACCTGCACCAAAGATGACTTGGAACCCAAACCTAGACACATTAGTCAAAGAGCTTGTGGGATCAATCCGCATTCACATACCACATCGACATCGGAGTTTCAACTTTAAATATGAGAAATAGACCAGCGCCAACTGCCATGATCATCGAACCTGCGATCATAAATGGGGTGTAATATCCCACGACTGAGACTCCCAGGCCACTCGCTATTGCAAATACCACTGTCCTCGTATCAGTTTGCAGTTCTTCTGTTGATCCAGCTTTGCATTGGTCCCCATGAGGGTATACTTACCGACGCTCAGAACAGTGGGAAGGTTATGGATGCCTGACTGGTCAGGAGAGTCGCCTTTGATTGCCTGAAACCTGTTCTCGCATTCAGTATCAATAAAATCAAGATTCGGGGGCCGCGAAGGCAATTCTCAAACTTACCAAATTGGCAGATAGTAAATCAGTAAGACAAACGACGCACTTGCAAAGAAAATATAAAACGTCGAGCAGGCAACTGTACGCTGCCGCAGAATACGAGGGGGTACTGTGGCATTTTCGCCGCTTTGCCATTGTGCTCCCACCCAAAGGATAATCAACACCGCGAATACCGTCAACAGGGCAATTATGCGGCCATCACTCCAAGGGTATGTGGTCCCTCCCCACTGGAGTGCAATCAAAAGACAAATGATGCTTGCAACGAAAAGGATCGTCCCGACGGGATCAAATTGGCTTAAGGTAGCCCAGCCTTCCGGCTTCGGTCTGTTTTCCGGCTTTGGCGAGGAGAGGAAAAGAAGAATGACAGGAATGGCTATAACACCGATTGGCAGATTAACTAGGCTCAGATTAGCTCAAGCCGTGCCGATAGCAACAGAAATGAAGTGTGACATACTGTAGAAGCACCAGCGCCAAGAGACATGAGCTGCCAATGTTAGCATCAACTTGAAGTGTAAAAGGCAATGGAAACTGACTTGTAAAAGCTCCTCCTAACAAGGGACCAATAACACTTGCTATACCCCACACTGCACCGATTATTCCTGTAAAGGCTGGTCTCTTCGAAAGAGGTACTGATTTGGCAATGATAATCAAAGCACCTGAGAAAATACCAGCGCCTCCAATTCCGGCAATGGCTCGTCCGATAATGAGGGCGACGGAGTTAGGGCTCGCGCCACAAATGGCAGAGCCAACTTCGAAGACCATTACGGCGCCGACAAAGGTCCATTTGAGTGAAAGTAAACTATATAGCTTGCCAAAAAAGAGCTGGAAGCTGCAGTTTGTGAGGAGGAATGCGCTGCCATACCATCCGATGTCTTCGACGCTGTGGAATTGGGAGGTAATAGTTGGAATTGCAGTAGCAATGATGGTTTGATCCTACTCAGAAATCACTTTTAGCCAATCTTATATCCTTCGGAATGTGATTCATTGAGAAGCGGGTGTGTAGTACGAACCAGTGCCACCAAGAATACAGTCAAGCACAGAGCGAAAAATACAAGTGCTAATTTCAATCCCGAGGGATATACTGGGCTTTCTGAGTCCGCTTCTTCAGTCAGGCGATTAAACCCCGTGTTGCTAGTAGCGTATTGGCTGTCCACGTGCGACATTTCCATGCCTGGTGCCTCGGGTATCCCACTTTGTTCGTCTCCCATTCTTGCTTTGGATAATGAGAAATTCAGAGGGCAAGCAGTGCTTCGGTTGGATTCAGTAGAATAAGGCAGATTTCAATATCAGAAAATAAAGTATACCCAGGACCAACTATTATAGATATTTCTATGAAAGTTATAGATCACCAGATGGATAACAGCTTCTTATTGGTTGTCAAATTTCCTCTTTGGTCCTAGTCCCAAAAAACTTCATTCTGATTTGTTCAATAATTTCCCAATCCGGTATGTCCGATGCCGATCTCGCGAACTTGACGCTTATATAATACACTGTGTGACCGCAGCCCTGGAGCACTCCCCGGAAAGGGTAAGCCATCTGGCGTCTAAAACCTGGACATGTATGTAATTCGTCAACTGATTGTGTCTACAGTTTACTTCTAATAACTAACGTATCGTATAATTTTGCAAGCTCAAGATCCATAGAATTTTATACATGGAGAGGTATCGATCTTTTCGAGTCCGTCCTCTCGTGTACTCCATCAATCTCATTATTCCATTCCAAAATATCATCCGCGCTAGAGTTATCAGAGATACGTATCATCGACTTTCCGGGTATTCCTGTCAACCTCCGGGATCTAGATGTGGGCGAGGAGTTTCCACCATATGGCGAGCTCAACTCGTATGTGCTCTGTGAAGTTCCAGTTTTCCCCCTCGAACAGATCGTAATATGGATCTAATGCAAGGTATTGATGCTGTTATAATGACCAGGTAGGCTTCGATGTATAGCCAGCGATTGTAGTTGACGGTTGCGACGGTTGGATCATCGGCTGCGTGTGCGAGGACTTGGGTTTGTACTACTTTAACAACGGAGGCTGCCATTGCACTGGATTTAAAATAGCTCTGTTAGTCAGGTATACCCTCTCAAACTGGGGTCCGAATCGGTTACTCACAAAATGCCCAATCCGAGGAGTGTGACCAAGCCCAACTTGACCCTTAACTTCAAGTTCAAATTCCAGAATATGTATGTTGAAAATACTGCCAGGTAAAGGTCTGTCGCCGAATTAAATGCTAGAGTTGAGGATTAGTCTCAGTGTGTAGATCAAGGCAATGAATGGAAGTTCGTACAGCCCTGGTAGTACCCGTAGTATGCTTGGATGCGGACATCCCAGCATTTATGCCCCTCATTGTGCATCCAGATAGCGGAAGCATGTCCAGGACATTGGACAAATAAAATGATGATCAATATCACGTTCGTCAAGATTTGTAACCCAACTATGATCCACAATATCACTCTGTGTGATTTTCTGGTGCCGAGTAGGCCAATGATGAAGACAATGAACGAAATGCGACCCAAAGTACCGCCAGCAATGCCGAATGTCTGGGTCAAATAGTCGAACATAATAACTTTCGGAACGACAGACTTTGTGTCGAGGTCCCAAACATGGCGACAGAATCCGTATTTGACGCCCACGGTAAGCAGAGCTGATCCGACTATACTAAGACACTAAGTGCCAGACAACCGGTCAGTTTTGAACTTCAACCTATTTTGACCCCAAGATACGATGTGAGTAGGCTAACCAATGATGAAACCATGAGAATGTCATCCCAGCCAATTTTTCGTATCCTTATTTTTGCAGTCACCCTCAAGGCAACTATCACAATGGCGATACCAGTGAGTGTCCAGATATCTCTCAGCAGCCTTGGACCGCAGTCATAAACGGCGGCTCGAGGTAAAAGTGACATATTAATTGGTCAATAGCGTGGAACTCCCCAACACAGGGGACAGAAAAGATGTGAAACACAGACATGTTCATACCACCAGACATTGATCGGTGGAGTTATATTGAACCCACAGTATTAGCTCGTTATCGTATCTATACTCAAAGTGATTCCATCGGAGATCTCCACGGGGCTCCGTCATATGTAGTCTACTGAGTTAAATCAATGGCTGTGTGAACATAAAACTTAACCTTGGCAATTCTAGAAGACCATCGGAGGTCCCCGCTAGAACCCGAGGCAGGTACATAGTAACGATAAGATAATAAGCTTGAACCTATCAAAAGTAGCCAAAGATCCAAATCTGAGCACCTACATATGGCGCCAGGAACAAGGGTGCAGGGCCGTTCGTTCGATAATAGACACAGTGTTGATTGGTCCCCGCGAGGGATCCGAGCGCCCGGATATCTTCGGCTGAGGCGCTGTTAAACATAAAGGATGTGATCGTACCTATACTTTCTGGAGTTCTTGCCAATAGACAGCAATTTGGTTATCCAGTGGCCAGATGTGCTTCTAGGGTATTAACCCCTTTGTTGGCAAAGATCCCAGCACACGAGACAGAACGATAGGCTTGATTATGCCATATATTCAGTGAGTGAGACCACAGGATATGTATCCAGCTATGAGAATAAAATTAAAATCCATTTGTAGAAATCGTAAGTTTCTGTCTCAGGCAAGCTGGTGATTTGACGAGAGTCAGCTGGGTTGGGTCTCGAAAAAGGCTCGAATCAGTGCACATCTTGATAGAAAGTATTAGACTGCAAGTAAGTATCATAAATATCAGCATTGAGCAACAAAGTGTTAATAGGATCAAAGTACAAGATACAAATGGGAAAATCTGTTGTTAAACCCAAATATTATTTTGCTGCCTCAGGTGTCAATATTTTCTAATCCCGTAACCCGGGACTTTTTCGGCCAGGGGTGTGAGCAATAGTGAAGTAGATATAAAGTGAAATACCTTCCCATCACAATGGTGAACATATAATCCAACACTGACCCCAGAACTAGTCAAATGACAAGTTCCCGAGTTATGCCGCAACGGGGTATCATAGACGCGGCTATGAGCCCCTAATTTGGACGTGGGGGACGGATCGTCCCGTTACATCATCATGTCCACGATGTCTCCAAACGATTTTTAGAGACATTTTGTTAAAAGACAACTTCTGAATGGCAGATCAATCCCCACTATAAACAAATTGGAACTGCAAGGTGAATGACACCACGTGCAGAAAATCCATATAAATCACAGATTTCCCAGAAATGTAAGAAGCTAAACCACTCTACCACAATCAACTGGAAATCAACTCAATATGGTTCAGATCAAGATCTCAATGCTATTCACAACCTTGGGCATCATGAGCGCCAGTATCGGCTGCTCGGCGGCAACTATCACGAACAGCCTGCTACTAGCCGACATTGCCGAACAGCTATCTTTGCCAGCATCAACATGGTCGGCCAGCGGCACACACACGGCGAAGGGATATACCAGCGAATCTGCAGAGACAGCCTCTGTGGAGGGCTTGAAGCAGGACTGCGACAATATTAACCTCAACAAGAAGTTAGCTGTCGACTTCCGCAGCGATGTTTTTGGGCCCGGCGTTACGGGGTTCTTCTACAAGTGCGAGAAGGTTAGCGAGGATACAAACAACTACTGGTTCACTATCAGTGCTGGAGACAAGACTCAAATCAACAAGCTTTGTGATCCGGATACTACCTATCCCATTGTCTTCGATCAACAGCATGATACTTGGTTCATTGATGAGCCTTTTGATTGTACTCGACGAACCAATCCGAGAGACTTCTTTTAGATACAAGGATGAAACGCTATGGTAAGATATTCATGCGGAGTAAGGTCAATGGTCACAATAGACTAACACATTTTATTAGAATGAACTGCCTGCTCACTTGGGTTGTGAGTCTTTTGGGGTCTGGAAAATGGGACATGCATTGAGTGGGCATAATTATAATATTCGTTGGTTTTCTTCCTAATAATACACGTCTTTTCTCCATGTGAGCTGTATGAACCAGATTTGTGCACCCATCCCTCTCGAACTAGTGGTATTTATTCCAGGGTCTCTTTGGTGCCGAAATTCTCACAATGTTGTCTTTTGAATTCCAATATCCATCGCCAAAGCCGTTGCTCAGTTACAAAAATCTGCTGTGTCTCTCGGAGGCCAGAAAATTTGAGTGGGTCATAGTTGAATCCCCAGTCCGAAATCATTGTTAAATGACGAGCCAAAGACAGCTCGAAGGTCTAAGGTTTGGTGAAAAGATCAGTTTCTGGTTTTTGTATCTGGGTTTTCGACAGGTCCTCGAGTCTGATCTTTTTGTGTAGTTTTCGATAATGTCGTAGATCTCTTTGTGAGAAGAAATATGACTCGAGCTTCGGGACTGATGGGTAGATTGATTCCCACATGGTACGGAAAGGGGAAAGGTCATCTGTGGAATCGAATGCTAGAAACCTTGTGAGACACCAAGCAAACTCACTGTTTTTGACACACTCAAGAGCTTTGGGGATAGACAACCCCACTGGTGGACTGGCCGCGCTGAGTGACGCTGCATCTTTGAAGCCATGGCTGAAACCAAGGCAGAATCTCTCATCTAACTTGTGCCGCGACTGAGGAAACCCTGGTGGTGACAAAAGAAAAGGAAAAGGCACAGCTGTGGTATAAGCCCAATCAATGATGCACGTAATATTATATTGATCGTCGACGAATATGTTGGTCGTAGTGAGATCAGGGTGGCAGAGTGGAAAGCTAGCCGGGGATGTGGTAATTTCAGACCAGTTTCTAGCATATTGAGAGATCAAACGACTGAGCGTAAGAGCAGCAATAATATAGTCGACTTTGTTCGTGGCGCCGTCAATCTTTTGTCCAACGTTGAGAAAGTCATTCCAAGCATCGCGGGCAGCATGCCACTGATCCTTGTTGGGGTAGTCCTTTCTAGATGGTTCTGATACAGCGAAGCAATGGTTCCCCAACGGCAGCTTGTAGCGTGCTTGATCAAGGCTGCTATGAGGCTGTGGTAGAACTCCCTCTCGTTGAAAAAAGGTCCACGAATGAATCCTCTCAAGGAATCTCTCTTGTGTTGTATGTGACCTCTTGACAGGCATTCTCCGATAACAAAAAGTCCATCTTTTATGAATAGAGACCAAATTTGGGCAAACCGGACTTGGGCAAGTTTCCATGCAATGTGGCCCAGTTGAAACATCACTTTGTTTATTTCGAGTGAATCCATACGGTGATATATCTTACAGCTCGCTTACCAATAGGAGTAAACCTCGGGAAAAGGTATCTCTGTGTAGTCTTTAACATACTTGAGCGTAGCAGCTTCGCTTGCAAGAAGTTTCGCGGCATACTCGTTAGACATCGCGGGGTGATTCTCCACTGGCGAGCGAAGAACCCATTCAAGGCCATCTTTAAATACAATGAAAATGGCCCAATTGAAGCCACCTCGTTCCGGACGCTGATTCAAGTCGCATGAGCACGCAATTTCCCCTCGCATCTTGCCCGCGCGTGCACAGAGTGCACACACGTCGAACTCATTGTACTTGAAGAGCGGGAAGTCTTCTTTTCTGGTGTTGGGAATCATGATATTCGGATCCATTATATTTGAGGTTGCCCTGCTAGAGACTCGGTAAAGCTATAATGACACAGGTGTCATGATGCAAGGACTGGAGGAGCGAGAGATCAAATTCCAAAAGAATGTTATTTGCAGAGAAAGAGCCGACGGCGTCGTTGCCTAAGAAAGAACTCCGATCTATACACGTGACTATTTTGGACCAGGAGATATGCAAATTGAATTCTCGGTCATATACGTTTACTTGAGGTATTCATAGTGGAAGTCTAGAATTTTAACAATGTTCGTCAACTGGCGAATGTACCAGGCTAACTTTAGCAGCGGCCACTCTGAGACCTTTTCTGCGCTCAGGGCAACAAAGGCTACCGTGGACAGCATTTCTGCGGTCAAGATGTTTTACGGGATGCATGAGAGGTGGACTTCGGATTATGGAATGGGCGTCGCATGTCAATAGCCCCCAGAGTAGATGCAGACGCACTGACAGATCGAGTTTGAATGAATACTGGCACCGGTAGTCACAAAGTTGTGTGTCCGATTGACGCGGACAAGGCATGGTAGGTAGAAATCCATGGACCATCTGTGGTGAGCTTCTTAAGCTCTATTACTTTGTTCTAGGCGAGTGGAAGAGCAGACTTTGTGCTACGATGTGGTTCCTACAATTCACTGTTCAAAACGACATTATATCTCGCACAAGGCTTTCAATCTCCTTGCTGTATCCTTTTAGTGCATAAGAGGTCAGGCAAATTTTGAAAAGGAAACGTTTGGAATTCAACCTTTGTGCCAAAAAGATAAGATGAACAGAAAAAGTTTAGAGTACATGTCATTGCCATAAACAAAGAGCAAGAAGTCAAATGCCTCACAGATCATATTGTCAATCAAGGAGTGTAGGCGAGGAAAACATTCATACCTGGCCGGTTCGACCTTCAGCCACATCGAGACCCCACTCGGCCTTGAGGTCTGAAGTAAGTATACCCGATTTCTTGAGAATCGTCTCAGAAAGAGCCGGGATAGAGTCACTAGTCAAGATCTCCAGGATCTGCAAATTAGCCTCCAACTCACGGGTGATCCAGTTTCTGATCTCAATGGCGACCAGCGAATCCAGACCATAAACAGTGATGGGCGCAGCCGGATCAAGGTCTTCCAGCGGACGCATAAGAATGCTAGAGATCTTGGTGAGCACGGCCGTCCCAACGATGAGCTCGGCCGCTTCTCGGGTCTTCGATTGCCGGACGGCAAGGGCCGGCGAAATCTCGGTACTGTTCTGCGCAGACTCGGCCAATGCACCCGCGCCAGCGAGAGTGGATAGGCGCAACAGGTGCGACAGCTTGGTATCATTTACCCAGAATGGCTGTGCACTAGCGGGTGTGGATTTGACGCCTTCGAACCCAGCCACGCAGTGTCCCTCGAAGGAAACGTCGAACTCGTTGCGGATCGCTGCAGTGACAAGACCGCGGATGTCTGTTGCGTCAACAGACTCTGTGCCGAGTTGTTTGGAGATTGTCTCCCGCTTCTTTTCGTCGGAGAGGTATCCGATTCCGCGGACAATGGGTAGATCGATTGTCGAACAGCGCATCTTGGCTGTCTCGGGGTACTGGGAGAGCGCCGCCATGAAGGTTCCACTGGCGGCATAGGGGGATTGGCCCATATTACCAACAAAACTGGCGGCAGATGAGAGGCTGACGAAGAAATCCACGCTAGCGTCAGTTGTTGTCAATGCCTGCTGAACGTTCCAGATTCCTTTAACTCTGGGCATCATCACGGTCTGGTAGTCGGCGAAACTAAGCTTTTCGAAGAGGGTATCCTGATAAAGGAGTTAGCGGGTTTGTGATTTGCGGTTGGTGTTGGAAACTTACCCGGAGAACCATAGCGCCGTATACAACACCACGAGCTGTGGGCATGCGAGCGAGGAGCGGAACAAGATTTTGCTCAACGCTCTGCTTATCCGCCACATCGCAGCGACAGATTTCCACATTGACACCCTGTTGAGTGAGATCCCGAATAGTTTGTTGTGCCTTTTCAGTCTTGACACCACCTCGAGAAACCAGGACAAGATTCTTGGCTCCCTTCTCTGGTAGCCAACTGGCAATGTCGAGACCAATGCCGCCGGTTCCACCCACGATGACATATGAAGCATCTGCGCGGAGAAGATTTTCGTCTCTTCTAGCGGGATGGACCTGTATAGAGGGTTAGCAATCATACGCTGTCAACGCGACTGCCGTATTAACAAACATACCTTAACCATGGAATCATCGGTAACCTGGACGACCATTTTTCCGATCACTTGTCCACCTTGCAGGGCCCGGAATCCAACCTCAACATCTGAGATGGGAAGAGTGGTGACAGACCACCTTGACTGGGCGTTGGTGTCCACAAACAGTTTGAACACATCACGCAGCAGCCGCTTCGTCAATTGAGGACGCTTCTCTCTGACCATACCTAAGTCCACAGATGCGAAAGATATATTCTTGTTGAAGTGAGCCATCTCCAATCGAGAGTTTGTCGTAATATCTCGCTTGCCGAGTTCAATGAAGCGACCAAATGGCGCAACACACTCGAATGTTGCTTGCAAAGCATCGCCGCTAAGCGAGTTGAGAGCAACATCCACACCCTGGCCACCAGTGGCCTGGTGAATACTTTGTGCAAATGACATATCACGACTGAAGAAAATATGTTCTTCCTTGAGCTGGTAAGTCTGCATGAGGAAGGTCTTCTTCTCAACACTACCAACGGTTGCGAAAATATTAGCTCCAACACTCTGAGCAATGATAATTGCCGCTTGGCCAACACCTCCTGCAGCGGCGTGGATCAACACGCTTTCATCTTTACTCAATCGTCCCAGGTCAATGAGAGAGTAGTAGGCAGTACAGAACACAGCTGGGATCGAAGCTGCGATCTCGAATGGCATATCCTCGGGGATGGCCCAGCATCCGGAGGCTGGACAACGTGTGAAAGTTGACAATGAACCTGGTGACATGGCACAGACTCGATCTCCAATTTTGAAGTCGGATACCGCACCTCCCACTCGAGTCACGACTCCACTACATTCCTGTCCGAGTCTATCGCCTTGAAGCTGACCCATGGCCATCAATACATCTCTAAAGTTGAGACCGGTACTGTGGACCCGAATCTCAATGTGGTCTTGGGGCAGGGGTCCATTGCGGGAGACATCATCTGTGAAGTAAAGCTCGTCGAGACCCCTCCCGCTTCCAGCAGCAAGTCGCAAAGCGCGATCTTGTTTGAAGGGCTGCATCTGCGGGGGTGCATCTGGTGTCTCTTGCTGGACACTGAGGTTCAATTCGTTGTTATCCACCAAACGCGGCACACAAACATTGCCATTTCGGACAACAAACTCCCAGTCATTCTGGACCAGTTGCGATTTCTGGCAGAAGACTCCGCTAAATACCTGGAGTATGTGGCCCACGGCCAGAGCATCGGGCATGTTCTCCCGTTCTCCCAGGTCAAGCGTGGCGAATTGGAGGCCAGTCTCTGATCTCACGGTGCGAGCCAGTCCAATTGCCATGTTCGCGCCAAGGGACTCCAGGTCAGTTTTGGTGTGACGAACAACCCACAATAGACCCCGAGCCCGGCTCAGGAGTCGCTGCAGTGTCTGGAACTTTTCCTGAGTGAGGTGCGATAGGATCGAGCGATCCATTCCCCCAAGGAAGATACACCATTTCCCGGTCACATCGACCGCATCAGAGTCCACAGCAGTTATTGGCTCAACACCAGTCATATTCTTGAGACCATACTCGAGGCTAAGGGATGATAAGGTCCCAATAGAGTCAATGCCGAGAATCACGACATCGCCGGCGTTTGCGGGACCAGTTATTGGGCTGTTAGCAGTGGAGATCATGAGACAACCAGATTGGAAAGATGCACCAGGGTACTCCTCCACACATAGGTCAATTCCAGAGAAGTCATTCTCCTTCATGACGTTGCTCCATCCTTCGACTGTGAGGAGTGGTCCGTCCTTCCGGAATTTGTCATTGGCCAGCCACCATCCAGAGAGGAGTGCGAATGGGAAATGCCGTGCCTTCGGGACAGTTTCCTCGATGAGTAGGACCTTGCCACCAGGCTTCAAAAGGGCTCGGATGTTTGCCATTGTCTGGCTGATGTCAGAAGTAGCATGCAGCACGTTGCAGGCAACTACAACATCATATGTGTCATTATCGAAGCCTTGCTCAGTAGGATCAGCCGACACGTCTAGTGTCTGGTATGTCATGAGATGTCCCCAGCTCCCAAACTTTGTCTTGGCTTTTTCGAAGAATCCTGGAGAGATGTCGGTGTAGGTGTAATGTGCGAACCGAGGCGTAGATCCTGGTTCATGTCCACCCAAACTCTGCAAAATCGGCATGGTGACACCACCTGTACCAGCACCAATCTCTATGATGTTGAGTGTAGGGTTCTGATGTGCCATCTTGTCAATGCAGACAGAGACATTGGCATAGGCCTCACGAAGACCGTCAAGATCACTGTAGTGTCTTGCGATTCCGTCATCCTCCAGCAGTACGCTCAAGGCATCTACCTTGCCCCTGAGGATTTGAGGGAGCAACTCCCCCACTTTACATGTCAACTCACCTGCTGCATTGACTGTTCGGGTCTGTTCAAGGACGTCAAGGTTCAAGGGATATTTGGTGTCCGCATTTTGGCAAGTTTTCTGGGCCCAACGATAGAATTTCTGACGGTGAGGCTCAAAGGTTGACAACTCGTCCTCTGTCACGGTCTTAACCACATGTGCCAGGTAATGCTCTGCCACAGATTCGAGTTGCTGCATTCTTTCAATGCCTTGAGCAACATCAGTCTCGGGGCGAGGGAGCTGTCGATAGTCCTCGGTGGAGAGGAAATCAAAGCAGGGCTCATATTGTACCTTGTAGCAAATCTGGTCCGGCGAGCTGTCCTTTGAGCCTTTGATATCGTTCGATACCGGCACCAAAGTGACACCATTGATGTCAATGATCAGATCCGCTGGGTTATTGGGGACAGTTGCGAATATGCGGTTAGTCTCAGGGTTGCTTGCGGATTCAGTTCCTGATTTGTGACCATACAGTTTCAGTACACTGCCGGCACTGAGTTCGGGGCATAAGGAGACGGAGACTTGCTTGACATGCGACGGCACATGGGTGACTTTCGGCCCGGGCTCGCCGTAACCAAGAAGGACCCACAGAACTTGACTACATAGATCAAGTGTAACAGGGTGCACAATGCAGGGGGTTTCATGCTGGTGGGGCATGGCTGCTTTCGTGTCTGGGATACGGAGGGTAGCCATTGCCTGACCATCCCTGCTCCATGAGATATCGGTCAATCCTTTGAAAAGAGGACCATACTGGACGCCACCGCTGGCGACGTTCTCGTAGAGGACATTGCTGTCCACGAGAGTGCTACATGAATTTCGCATCTTCAATGATTGTTCAGTGAAGCGTGCGGTCTTCTCGAGCTGCTGTCGAGACCCATCAACCGGGTTGACGTCCTTGACTTCTTGCACCATGACGAAGCCATTGCAGTGTTGGTCCCATCCGCGACCCTCAGCCCATGAGAAAACCTTGAACTCGTGCCAGCCGAGGACTGATTTACTGGGAGCTTCTGCTCGGGATGGTTTTAGGCTGAACATTGTCTCCACGGATGAGTTGTCCGGGATAGTGAGGACACGATTAATGAAGATATCGCGGAGATCGATCTTTCCAGGAGTAACATGGTGTAGCTGTGCGTGTTGTGAGATAGCCTCCATAGCCATGGCCAAGAACCCGGTCATTGGATACACAGTTCTGTCATGTACTCTGTGCTCGCGGATCCAAGGATGGTCATCTGCACGAATGGTGTTCCTCCATCGGGGCTCAAAGTCGACATTCTCCATGCACAATGAGCCAAGGATATCATTTCGAGGGAATTGGCGATGGAGATGATTATCACCTAGGCGTGAGCTAAACCAGTATCTTTCAGAGTGGTTCCACGGATATTTAGGCAGATTTGTCATAACAGCAGGCTTTCTTGATGTCGTTTTCAAGTTCGGGAAGTTGATAGCCTGGAAATCGAGATTCAGACCCTGCTTGAACAACGACCCAGCGAGGTTTTGAACAGCCTCGATGTCATCTACCTTGCGTTTCAAGGTGTGAAGGTATTGCACATTGGAATTCGGGGCATGTTCTTGGGCAATGTCTCTCACGGGTGTTTGTAGGGCAGGGTGAGGGCCAATTTCGACCAATGTGTTAATTGGTGTAGTTGCGTGCTCGTCGGTCACAAGGCTCTTCAGACCCTCCACAAACTCCACACGGGAAACCAGATTGTCGACCCAGTAGGAGGCGTCCAAAGTGCTTCCTGGAATCAATTTTCCATAAACGGTCGAATGGAATGGAACCTCAGAGTCCCGAGGTTCAATCTTGCCAAGCAGGGATCGATATTCCTGTGATACAGTCTTCATATGGTGGGAGTGGTAAGCAACCTCGACCTGCAGTCTTCGGGTGAAGATCCCTTCTTTATCCAAGGCAGTCTGCAGATCGGTAATGACATCCGCATCTCCAGACAGAGTCACGCTTGACTCGCTGTTCACACAGGCAATAACGGCCTTGGTCCCTCGCATGGCATCCAGAATTTGTTGGATATCTGGGGCGCTGGCTCCAACCGCCAACATACCTCCCTTGATAGACTTGTCATTTGCAACCAGATTTGCTGCGACACCACGAGAGTACGCCACCCGAACACACTCTTCGAGGCCCAGAATGCCCGCGGCATAAGCTGCTGCAATCTCTCCGCTGGAATGACCGACCACTGCCTTGGGGCGGATACCCCAGGATGATAGCAAATCAACCAACGCTAGCTGGACTGCGGTACAAGCGGGCTGGCTCATGTATGCGGCCGAGATAGAGCTTGCGCTCGGGTCGGTCAAAAGCAATTCGTCTTCGTGTGGAATGTTAGTGTCTGAGAATATTGCTGTGGGGAGTGCTAGAATCAAGTTGAGACATACCTATAATTGAGAACGTAGCACCGAGGGATTTCAAGCAAGCGTCCACGTCTTGCATGGTCTGCTTGAAAACTGGATATGTGCTCAGAAGTTCTTTGCCCATGCCATGCCATTGGGCACCTTGTCCAGTGAATACAAAGCCGACAGTCGGCTCTTTGGAAGAACGAACAGGCACTGCGTCAATAGCCAGCGATTGAGTCAGCTCCTGGCCAGAGATTGCAGAGGATGTCAATCTCCATGGCAGGAACGTTCGTCTCTGTCCTAGTGTATAGGCCATGTTATCCATAGTACTGTCATTGAAAACCACTGGGAAATGGTCGAGATGCGCTGCAATCAATTTCCCAAGCTGGAGGGCAGCCTTCTTATCGTACGCAGAAACTACAAACAACTTGCGCTTGAGAGGGTCGTCGCTTAACTCAAGATTGCCTTCATGTCGGGGAGCACGCTGTAGAATAACATGGGCATTGGTCCCGCCAAAGCCGAAGTTGTTCACACTTGCATATGGTTTGCCACGGGGCCATGGAGTCAGCTTCTTGGGAACCTAGTTGCGTTTTTAGCAGTGTCCGTCAATGCTCCAGGTCAGTCCAAGATCTCACCTTCATATTCCACTGATCCATGGGTATTTCCTCATTCACTTTCTCAAAATTGCAGTTTGGGGGTACGAAGCCTCGCTCAAGCGCCAGGGTTGTTTTGATCACAGAAACAAGACCACTTGCTCCTTCTGCATGACCAATGTTCGATTTCACAGATCCAACAAGCAATGGTTGACGCGGGGACCGCCCTTTTCCGAAGACTGCATTCAATGCAGTGGCTTCGAGGGGATCACCAACTTTGGTTCCTGTGCCGTGAGCCTCCACAAATCCTGTCATGGCCGGGTCAATCCGTGCCTCTTTATAGACTTGACGCATCAATGCTTCCTGTGCCTTGCCATTTGGCATTGCAATACCTCTGGTCCGCCCATCTTGGTTAAGACCAGTGTTGATAATGACAGATCGGATGGCATCTCCCGCAGCCTCTGCGTCCTCGAGAGATTTCAAGATAATACACCCAGCACCTTCACCCCGGCCAAAGCCAGTGCCGCGGTGATCAAAGGAATATGAGCGACCAGTATCCGAAAGTAGTCTTTCAGAGAGTACCAATCAGCTTTTGCATGTCAGGAGGATTGCCAGTTGCACTTACCTGGAACGTGTCATCGAAACGAAAGCCTCTGGGGTTATATTCAAGTGGCATCCTCCCACAATGGCCATCGAGCATTCACCGTTCCGAATACTCTGAGTAGCCAAATGCAGAGCAGACAAGCTGGAAGAGCAAGCCGTGTCAACTGTAACACTAGGCCCGTTCAAGTCAAAATGATACGAAATTCGATTCGCCTGCAATGCCATAGCCGTTCCAGTGGCAGCATACATGGGGATAGCCGAGATATCTCTGGTGTTGTTGATTTCGTAGTCGGAATATGAGCCGCCTGCAAAGACTCCCACCTTTTGGCCGGTGATCTCATGGCTCGGGATTCCAGCATTCTCTAGCGCTTCGTACACACATTCGAGGAAAATTCGCTGTTGCGGATCCATTACCTGTGCCTCTTGGAGTGTGATATTGAAAAATGGCGCATCGAATAGGCCAATGTCTTCTGTCAGGAAGTGGGCTCCTACTGCATTGAAGGAGCCTGGTCGATCGGGATCAGGGTGATAGAAGGAATCAGCGTTGAACCGGTTCTTTGGGACTGGTGACCAGGCACTTTTGCCTCGTGAGCAAAGGTCCCAAAACTGTTCGGCCGTGGAAACGTCTCCTGGGAGGCGGCAGGACATGCCGATTATGGCCGTTCGCTTGGGCACATCGCCGGTGGGATTATCGGTGATATCATTGGACTGCTCAGGCAAAGAGTCATTTTGGCTCTCGATAACTGGTGTTCCAGTCCCGGAGGACTGTTGGAGGCGCATCTTTGATAGATTCGGTGTTTGATTTGAAGATGTCCAACTATGTACCTGGCAGTGTGATCACCACCAATGTCCAGCAAGTGTCTAAAGAAACGAATATCAATTTGCAAGAAGAAAAATGTATTGAACAGTACAATCACGGATCATTTGAACCGGGCAATCGATTGATCCAAGTACTTCCTGAAAGGCAGACAATAAAGAAAAAAATGCGTCGAGACGGTTAGTTCTAGAGTACAACCCACCCTTGCATGACCATCCAAGCGTGTGCATGGCGATCTCTGTCCAGTAGTCGTCCCGATTGAAACAGGGGGATTCAACTTTGAGTTGGGCCATGATAGGTCGAAGCCCCATGCCTCCATGGCTGTTCTCCTTGGTGACGAATCCAGAAATTCGCAGGCACATCAATTGGATCTTCTATGCACGAACGCATCACCTCCACCCGTTTTTTTTTTGGTAGTTCACATAATTGCAGATCAGAATCAGTAGATCTGGTCTTGCTACTGTCATGATGACTTGGATAGCGCTTGTTTCGATGCCCTTGCTGAGGCGAGGGTGCGTACTCCGTACATTCCAACAACAGGGGTAAAACTCCCGATGCCCTGGCAGATTCCTGATGGGCGTGATTTGTTTGGGATTGCCCCCTCGCGTCGAAAGTGCCTTTATAGAACACTCCGACTGGTATTTTAGCGTCGCGTTTTTCTCCGAAGATATTCCCCAGTCTTGATCATCGTGATGAAATTTCTATGCCTCCCAGGAGGTCATTGCAACGCCAAGGTATGTCAATCAATTTATCACGTGGAATGAGATCATTTAGTTGACTTTGACTGCACAGGCTCTCAAAATCCAGCTAGGTAAGCAGTAGATGCGATATGAACGTTGATAGAAACTAATGGTTCAGGCCCTTTCTGTGACGCCCTCGCATCCAATGGAAATGCCAGCTTCTACTACACGCAGGGAACCACTGAGGTGTGGGTTCCACCACAATTTGCCGGATTCTTCGGTCCACCTCCCAATTATACCTTCATGAAGGTCGATGGGCCCCTGGTACAAAGGAACATGGGTGATTTTCCCAAACGCGATACCCCGGAAGAGTCAATGAAAGCCGCCACGCAGGCAGCAGGCAATCCCACATTCTCCTGTATGCCTCAGGTCATGGACCGTCTAGTTGGCATTCTTGACGGTGAGGGCGACATTGATGGTGTGATTGGCTTCTCTGAGGGATCCCAAATTGCCGCATCGCTTATTCTTGAGGAGCAAAGAAGAGAGAGAGAACTTGGTCGGATACCTCGACTTAAATGCGCGATCTTTTTCAGCGGATGGCCGCCAGTACACCCGGTGACTGGCAGGCTTGTTACGGCCGAGGACTATAATGAAGAACCGATTACTATACCAACCTGTCATGTTGTGGGTGGGTCAGATCCGTTCATTGATGGGTCAATGGCACTGTACAATATGTGCGATCCAGACAATGCGGATCTGTTTGACCATGGAGGGGGGCATCTAATTCCAAGAAATAAGCAGGTTACAGAGGAGATTGCTTTAGTGGTACGCGAGATGATCAACTGCGCAGCCTGATTTTTATAGCAATTGTATAGCAATACACTGAAAATGCCCCCGAATTGGCTGGATTTACGCTGTATTTCCACGATATTGGGTGTATTTTATGCTCAGCTCGTAGATATAATATAGCAATCATCACCTCGCATTTGAGTCACTCCAACAGTGGCCGTGTCTCTGCTTCCTCTTCCTCTTCCTCTTCCTCAACTTCAGTCCGACCCTCTGTCCAACTCCATTGAGGAAAGAAACTAACCGAAAATGCAAGCCCAGAGTTCCAACCACGCCACCCGGATGACCTCTCCCCTTCCTCCTCAACCTGCTCATACTCTGCCTCCTTCCAACGCCATCTGGTCCGATGCATCAGCCACACCAAGGCAACCCCTACTGCACCTAACGCCACCGTCGTAAGCACAGCGCCCATTACTGACAAAACAGTCAAAGTGCTGGCATTGCACCCAAACGGCCTCGCTCTCAGCTCCCATCTCTCCTTGGAACCAAGGGGGCAGATATTTGCCGAGCTAAAAGGCGCAAATATTGGAACCCGCGATGGATTCGGAACACAGGTCGAAGACTGTATAGCATAACAATCAATAGTCAGTTTCCTCCAGCATGGACTAGAAAATCATGGTTCGTGTTGTGTCGATCAAGTCAAAGCGAAGGCAATAATGGAGGTCCGGGGTAGGCGTTGCCTTGAAACCCCTATCGGCATTCTGGAGGACGCAAGGGAGTAGGATGTGAAACGAATACGACGGGGAGCCTGCACATATAGAGTTGAAATGATAGGGAAGGGACATAAATAGAGAGAATCAAAATATACTACAAATGGAAAATGAAGAGAGAATGTGACCTACTATAGCACACCAGCTGCAGGCAATGTCACCGGTCAGGCAGCTTGAACATGACTGTCGACCCCAGCAAACATGGAAAAGCGGATCGCTAGGGTCTGGATTGTTCAAGGGGATGCTGGAGTTTCCCTTGAGGTTGTCCATATTATGATCTAAGGTAGTATACCATGTAAGGTTTCTCGTGATATGTTGTTCCTATCGATAGTCAGATTTGTTCCCTTGCATCGAACGGTCAATGTACTTCTGCTAAGTTGCGGGGTCAATGTATGAAAGAATTATGAGAAGTCACTTTTACTTTATATACTTGAGTTGCAATTGAAATAGGCGACATCAATGGGAGCGAAGTTGGCGAAGTCATATGTCTACGCTGTTTGGTACTTTTGCCACTGCGGACATGCACTACGCAAGTATACCACATGATGGCATGATGGTCCGGCTCACTGTAGTACAGATTTATATTATATAGACTTGATCGCATGACACCGCGTGAAAACGTGATAAATTTATCTTGGTAAATCGCGCTGAAAACGAACTGGCCGTGAAATACCAAAATCCACTGCCGCTCGTCAATGCATAGCCAAAGGGGAAACATGTTTTTGATCAAGGAAATACGGTAGATATGGTTAAACCACGCGCTTGACCTGCATATTGATCATTAGTATCTCATCTGCCAGTATTCCAATCAAAGAAACCCACGTACCTCGAAGAATCTCTTGAGCCACCAAACCTGGAACACACCCTCGCCGATAACCACAATAAGCTGGAACATACTCCACCATTTCACACGGCCGTTGGTGCTCTCTGCAGTATTGCGGTGTACTCGCTCGCGCACAACAATGTACGACTGCTCATCCTTGACCTGCGTTAAAGCTTCGGTAAGCTTGCGCACTAGATAGTACCAGATGATCAGTCTCAATGCTCTCCCGTCAGTTGTTGTGTTGTCCGCGCTTACCTTCGACCTCGAGGGGATCCTGCGTCATCTCGCTTTCGGGCACGTAAACAATTCCGTGGACGTTGAAAGAGACCTCCTTGGAGTTCGAGGTCCAGCCCTCGTTGCTGAAGCAGTAGTTGTATTTTCCGTCGGCTTGTGCGGTGAACGAGTAGTCATCGGAGGCAACGGCTTGCTTGAAGTACTGGCGGTTTCTCAGGGGATCCTCGACCTGCGGCGACCGAGCGTTAGTGTCTGCGTTCTCAATTGGAATCCTTCCTCCATCCCAATGTAGCAGTTGGACTGGTCCCTAAAGACATGGAGCGCTCGGTTTATAGGTCCGATATCCCCCATGCCAGAACCACCATCGGAGCAGAAGGGGATTCCCGAGCGACACGAAATCACCCAAAACCAAGACCCGGACAGGGATATTTCATACCCAGAAATCAACCTCAAGGTTTCCACTTCCTCCAAACTCCCGATCTCCAACCTGGAAAGTGACAGTCATGACATCGTCACGGTGCAGTGACTCGTGGAAGCATTCTCGTGAGTGAGCCTTGAGCTGGATGGTGTGTGCGGTCGCGGCGGTGATCCAACTCAGTGCGGTGACCAGGATGGTGCTTGTTGAGAATCGCATGGTGGAATGTTTCGACTGACTCCGGTAAGTCTGGGGGAATTGACGAGTGAGTGGGTTGGTGATGTGCTGGTTGTCAACGCGCAAGGTGTCAATTGGCGCTCGGACCACTTTCATAAACACCGCTCCGCCTTGGGATTCTTGGCTCGATGTATACTACAGAGTAGAGTTGGGTGGATTTAGATTGTAGTATGGACGATTGATCTTTCTGGGTCTATTTATTGATTTCATTGGGTCTCCTATGACATTCATATCCATCTAGCTGATCATCTAAAATTTGTGAAGTTATACTGCAACATATATATTTCCACTCTGCATCAACTGCATACCTACAACCATGTCCATGCTATAACAGGATTAAAAAATGCTAGCTGACAAATCCCAAACACTAAGAAAGCAAATATCACACAGTAATGTAGAAAATAGTTAGTCTGAATTTATTGGAGAATAATAAGCACTTGAACAGTAATAAGCTACAAGAAACGCAACGGCGAAGCGTGACTATCAACACAGATACATCCGACATCACAAAAAAGGGGGTTGCATGGATAATATAGAACAATCAGAAAGTAAAGAACGACAGAGATTGACTATTAGTATGTATAGAAGGGATGTAAACGATAGGACATGAAGAAAAAATGGTAGGATATTCAATGTACAAGATCTTCGGGGGAGAGGGAAAAAAGCGAAATAACTGGTATCAAATCCGACAATGCAAACATTGACCAACGGCCATGAAGCCGGAAGATAGGTATGTATGTCGAAAGGGGGAATATGGATAAAACGAGAGGAGAGAAATGTGGGAAATTGGCGCTGGCACCAAACGCAGAGATAGCAGTAAACGATGAAAAGCAAAGATATCACAGATCAAGCATTCTGTAGTCGTTTTTCCGGTGAAAAAAGAAACCAAAGAAACACCGAGATGAGATGGAAAGTTCAAAACAATCTATGGGTAATGATCAAGAGCGACGGAGTCACTCTTCCTCGGTAGAAGGTTCGTCAGAAGAGGAGACGTCAGCGTCGGCCTGAAGGTCGCTTTCTTCGGCTTCAGCCTCATCAATCCGAGGCCCAAACGGACCCTCATCGTCCCTCCCCTTCGGCGAGGCCGAAACCATCCCATCAACGGTACTCTCGTTCTCATCCGCGAAGCTTCCATCCTCGTAATGCGCCGGCTCGGCGTCATGGTCATAACTCGAGCGACGGAGAAGAGGCGGCGTTTGAGGTGGTTCCGTAATAGGTGCCTGGCTGCGAACTGAGCCGCGTCTTGGGCCTCTCAAGGGACGAGTTTGCGCAAACCGCGCGGCAGCACTAGTCTGCGGACCAGTGCCCTGCCCTCGGACGTGGGAGTTCGGGGGTGTTAGCAGGCCTGAAAGGAAGGTGCTCGCGTTGCTGGGCTTTGACGGGGTCTGGTCGGAGGTGCTGGCGGCGGATTCGCGGCCTTTACGCCAATTTCCCCAGGCGGCTGCTGCGGCTAGGGGGAGAGAGCGGGGAGAGGCGGCAAGGTCGGCGAGGGATGGGAGGTGGCCGGTTGTTAGGCGTTCCTTTTCTTGCTGTTGCATTTGGAGGTTGGCTTTGAGACGGATAGCTGCGTCGCGGACGGCTTGCTGGTTGAATGAGGGCTTGGACACGGTCTGGATTATGTCTTGCAGGTCGTCGATACGGACGCCTAGGAGCTCACGGAGCCAAGTGATCTCCGTGTCCTTCTCCTTGATCTTATTTGGTGCGTCCTTATCTATCGAGGAGACTTCTTGTTCGAGCTCCTCAATTCGTGTCTCGCGCTGCTGGAGCTGATCCTGGAGGACGAAGATTGACTCGCGAAGGGCTTGAGGAGAGATTCGTTCAGGCTCTTCGGATCCCTTGTTATAGGACATAGACGGTGTCGCCCGCGAGTGTGAGGGTGCGGCAGCTGGGACCGAGCTGGGGCTTGCCTTGGCGCTGTGGGCTGCCTCAGCAGCAGCACGGGCAGCAGCCTGAGCGATCTCAAGCTTCTCTTCGAGAAGGTTCACGCGCTCTTGCAAATGCTTGGCCTTGTCCTCGGACAAAGCCATGCGCTCCGTGTTTTGAGTCTCACCGCGTGCACGATCTTCTGAAGAGTTATGCAAAGCGCGAGCGTGACGTTCACGCAGATCATTGAGAACGCGCTCATGCATCTTGCGGGTCTCATCGATGGCAAGGTCCTTGGCAGCTAGTGCAGCGGTCTTTGAGTCTCTGGCTTCCTCGAGGAGAAGCTCGTAGCGCTCGCGAGTGGTATCGGTATCCATGCGATTGTTGTCAAGTTGAGTCTCTAGACAGATGATCTGAGCCTCTAGCTCGGCACGCACAATGTTGACCTGGCTGTTAGAAGCTTCAAGGTCTGTCTCCAATGAGGAGCGGGTACGCTGGATCTCGGCACGGCTGCTCTCGCGGGCTTCGATGAACTCTCGCTCAAACCGGGCAGCCTTGATTTGAAGTTCATGGTTCTCTGCCCGGAGACTGGTGATCAGCTCCTCCAGTCTAGCATTCTCACGTTGAGATTGCTCCTGGATGAACCTCAACTTCGTGGCCTCCCGCTCGTTCTTTTCGAATTCGCGGACGTCCTCCTCCAGCTTCCCGCGCAATTGGAGCTCACGAGAGTGCGACGAGCGCAGCTCATTGTACCTAGCAGATTGCTCCTCCTCCTTTCTGCGCCAGGTAGCTTGATCGCGAGTGATCTCAGCAGTGACGCTGAGCATGTCATCTTGAAGACGATCGAACTTCTCAGTGAGGTTCTGGCGTGAGATCATGCTGTCTTCGATGCGAGTTCTCAGGTGATCAATAGTCTCATGGAGAGACTTGTTCTCACCCTTGGTAGTCTCCAGTTGACGGCGGAAATTATCGCTAGAAAGACGGTACTCGTCGAGGGTACCCTCAAGCGCGATGTTCTTCGTGGACAGTTCGGCGATAGTAACCTTGAGAGTCTCGCTTTCTTCTGAGAGAGACTCAGTGCGGAACTGCATCTTCTCAAAGTAGGGAATCTTCTCTTCCTTGAACTGAAGGAGACGAGACTCGGCATCCTCTGCGGCAGCACTGTGACGAGCAGCATCTTCCTCGGCAAACTTCAACAGTCGCTGGAGCTCAGAGATAGCATCCTGTGCATCGCGACGATCCTTGTACTCCTGCTCGGCACGCTCATCAGCGACTCGCAACATGCTCTTAAGGCCGTCGATCTGGAGCATAAGGCTGTCGGCACCAATCTCCTCGGCCTCCGATAGACGCGGGCTCGGGGGTTTCTGCAAGGCGACCTGGTGAGCCAATTGCTTGGCCATAGCCTCATCGATAATCTCGCGCATATCACCAACAGGGTCCTGAGCGAGCTTCTTGATCGTGAGGGCCTGCAGCTCAGCAATGCTTTCCTTGAGCTGCGCCATCTCGCTGTGGCTGGAGTGCGGGGAAACACGTTGAGGGATGTCATGGGTAACCAAAGCTTCCATGACGACATTCTTAAGCATCTCCAGCTTACGTTCTCTCATGTTGTGGGGCGAGCGATCGCGAACCAAACCCTCCTCGCCATCATCATCCTCATCATCGGCGTCACTGTCTTCCATTTCAGCGGAGGTGCTGCGG